TTCAGACCAGCCGAACGCGGCCATAGAGCAAAAAAATAAATATGGCAGACTACATGCTATGTCCACATATTGCGTGCCTTATGTATTAATTGCAAGCCTATGTGTTAATCTTTTATTACTATGGACAGACATTTGCTCCTTTATATTCTTGCAGTTTCCTCATACCTCTGTACATCTTTGGTTTTGAGGCTACGGAACTAACTTGAGAATTATTACTTCCAATACAAGCGACGATGAGTAGGCACATGCTCCCCACTCTAGCACCTCTCTCTCTATCTAGGTCTGTGGTCTACAAATCTCACTTAGCTTACATTTGATTTTTATCCAAGATTTATCTTTGGAGCCCATATGTTTGATTTCTTTCCTCCATTGTTCAAATAGGATTTACCATACGCCATCAATGCTTAATTCTAGAAATTGTGAAATTGTTGATCGTGTGATACTGGTGCATCTTTCTCCGTTTCAAAGAAATTATGTGGCCTCCTATCCTATGCTACGGCTATGATTTTGATTGGCTGCCCATCACCATTGATGGCCCCACCTTTTCCTCAGTCTGATTACGATATTTACTGAGATTCTAAGGTACATCTTTTCCGTATATGATGAGTTTGTATTCACATGCTTAGTTCGTTTTTGTAATTTACAGAACCTGCATACTTGCTTTGCGCCGCACGCTGCCGCTGGGATTTTTTTTGGTGGGCGTCAGTGGATGTGCGCAAAGGATAAAGCCGAAGGGAGGAGGCAGGAGGGGCAACACAAGCATCTCAGCATTGCAAAGAACCTGTACGAGTCCAAGGTTCATCCAACAACATTGATCCCAAAAATAAGCTAGATGGGAATATGTATACAACATCACCCTATGTCGCCCTACCATTGGTTATTCACAATAGACACGAAACTCTGGTATAATACTATTTAATATTTACAGTATGTGTTTCCCTCAGCTTTTGCAAGGCTCGATTGTACCCGCCGCGAAGCGCGGGGTCTCTGGCTAGTTATATATAGATTCATCACATAAGATCTATGTTTTTAGATTCACTAAAAAAATACTTTCGCAATATATAATTCATATTTTATAAAACTAAAAGGATTTTTTTTTAAATAGATGGTCAGATATAGTAATAATTGACTTAGGGTAGATATAATGTGACATGTAAAAAAGAATAGAGAGAGTACAAAATAAAGTCCAACAGATATGCAGAGTATACAAGGCAACACTAAAAAAACACACTATTTGTTTTAGTTTTGTCCAAAGTCAAACTTTCTTATTTTTTTAAAAGAAACTATAAAAACATACCCACATTTGCCACGTTGCATCAATTTCATTAACGGTAATGCTACTATTAAGACGTCTGGAAGGTCAGAAACCTTGCTCCACTCACTGCCGCATGCGCCGCTCGCCTTAAAAAAACAAAATCAACTCCCGCACGTCGTCTCGCGCTCGCGCCGCCCGCTTCCGCATGCGGCGCCGACCGCTGAGCTACCCTCTCCGGTTTGGCGCGTGGTTGTCATGAGTCGCGCCGCGCTTGTTGTTGCCAGCCCCGCCAGCGCGTAGTCGTCATGAAGTCGTGATGCTCGGCTAATCGCGCTACCTTAAAGCGCTGGGGCGAGGCCGCTGCCTCCCTGCCCCGGCGCGTGTTGATGTTTTCGGACCACCGACGAGTAAATTTATATTTGTGCATCTGGCTCAGATGGTGTGCTCGGAGGACACAAGGGTTTATACTGGTTCGAGCGGAACGTCCCTACGTCCAGTTTATTGCTGCTCGTGTTACCGGCACTTGGTTTGCAGTAGGGGTTACAAACAGGCGATAGAGGGAAAGGATCCCAAGTCTCTGGTGAAAGGAGTGAACGGGTGCTGAGAGCTCGATTGTTGCTCAGCCGTGTGCTCGTGTCGTGCTCTTGTGTTTTTATCTCGTGGTTCGGTCTCGTGTGGATCTAGATTCCCCTTTCATGGGGCGCCCTGCTTCCCCTTTTATAGGCGAAGGGAAAACGCGGGTTATAGTAGAGGAAAAGAAGAAGAACAAGAGAGAAGAAGGCTTTCAGGATAGTCGGGTCCTTTTTCTCCTTCATGCGGGTCTCGTCAATCCTGTAGATGTCAACAGGGACGGCTCCACGTCGCGGCACTGTTCGTCACTAGCGCCATGCGCAGGCGTCATCTGTCGGTCATGGCGTTCCATTCTGTCCCAGCGGACGTTGTGGTGAACTAACGTGCCTGTCAGCGTTCGTACGAGGGTTAGACAGAACAGCACCGGCACGCCCAACGTTGTTCTTGATGTAAACCCTCAGGTAGAACAACACCAACCCAAGGGGTCAGACGAGACGGAGCCCGCAGCCTTGAGGTCGGGCGATACGGAGCTCTCACCCGAGGGGTCGGGCGAGACGGAGCACGAACCCAAGGGGTCAGGCGAGACGGAGCCCGTGGCCTTGGGGTCGGGCGAGACGAAGCCCGCGGCCTTGGATGAGACCCCCGCGGCCTCGAGGTCGGGCGAGACGGAAACCGCGTCCTTGGGGTCGGGCGAGACGGAGCCCGTACCCAAGGGGTCGGGCGAGACGGAGCACGAACCCAAGGAGTCAGGGAAGACCTTTTTAATACGTCTTGCTCCATCCAAGAAAGTCAGCGTGGACGCTAACTTCCTTGCTTTGGGTATCCCTAATATCGATACACGATAGCGCGTGGCCGCTGTCTCCCTGCCCTGTTGCGCAGCCATCACCGAGGTGCTACTTACAAGCATCGCCGGGCCGCTGCCTACGGTGAACTCCACATGCTAACGAGCCTCCATTCTCTGAGCAGCAAGGAGATGTTTGTGCTGAAACTGCATGTTGCAAGCGTCTGTTTTACGTGTTTCAAATGTTTTAGAGGTATGTTGCAAATCTGGGATGTTGCACATATTGTAACGGTTGTACACGTATATTGCAAGCTCATGTTCTTAATGTTTTATCTGTTTTTTCCCGACGTATGTTGAAAGTGTGTTTATCTGGATGTTGCATATGTTTTCACACATATGATGCAAGCATTTTATCTAGATGTTGTGTATGTTTATAATTGTTTCAAGTGTTTTTCAGGTGTTTTTGCAAGTGTTTCACACGAATGTTTTATTTGTTTCATTTGTTTTTAGACGTATATTTCAATTGTTGCATCTGGATGTTTTAAAACTAGATTGAGTGTTGCATCTATCTCCTCGTCTTTCTGTTGTCTCGCCTTGATGTTAGGCGTGGTAATGCGGAGGGGTTCCCACCGGCGCGGGGCGGGCTCCACGTGCTTGCGGGCGGGTGCAGCAGGCGAGACGTGGGCGGGCAGGCGTGGGACGCGAGAGGCGTGGCAGTGCAGGGGTGTACGAATCTAGCGTGCGGACATCCGGACGCTAGCCATGCTCTTTTATTAAATCTAGCATAAAATATGTACATCGCATTTATTTTGTATATATTGTAGATGTTTATATATTTTTCTATGAATTTACTTAAAATTGACAAAAGTTATACTTAAAAGCAACAGCAGGAAACTCTCGTGACGCCTACAGATTGAAACTGATTTGTTACCTCTAATTTTCTTGAAAAATTTCAGAGGCATTAGCCCGGTTTCACGAAACGAGGGCAGGCACCCTCTTTGTTCCCACGGCACCAACCCATGCGCAATGCACCAACCAAACCAACAAGTCCCATCGCTCTCCACTTGCTTTCGGTCACGGTCGCTGGGATTGCCGCTTATAAACCGACCGAGCCGCGCCGCACTGTAAGTCGAGGCACGCACCCACACCCACGAAGCATTGCAAACGAGAGCCTTTTTCGTCCCTTGTGTCCTCGTTTTACGCCGCGCGCTCCCGGGATCTAAGCGAGACGCGACCCGTGTATACAACATCACCGCTGCATCTCGCCGAGACCATTGGGATCGGTTCACAATAGCCGATCGAAATCATGTCACACCAGCGTGAATATTTAAGTTGTTCTATTTACGCATTGTTGCTTTACGTTTTCATAGTAGAGTATGACCAGTTGGGTCCACCGGGATGTAATTTATAAGAACATAAGTGCTCGCATTACTCAGTATGAACACTCATTCGGACATTGCATAATACACACGACGCCAAGGCGGCTTGCTCGCCGGCGCCAGGTTCCGTCAAAGTAATTATTCACCACGTCGCGGTGACATGACGCGGCGGCTGGAGTGTGACAGTTGGTACCAGAGCCACCTTCCTTCGGCGTGTGGGTGACGAGCTCCTTATTTGGCGCCGCCGCCGATACCACCACCACCACCACCGCACCACCACCACCACCACCACCACCACCACCACCACCACCACCGTCGTTGGTCGTCAAGATCCACGCCCACAATGACGCCGCACCTCTTCGTTTCAACACCGCGCGCCTCACATCTACTAACGCGCCTCAATCGACGCCCACCGGTGTTCGATCGGGTCCGCATCAACAACCGGGTCTGGAGGCATCAACACGAGTGAGCATCCCAAATCCGCTTTTTTTTTATACTTTTGCACAAGTAGGCGATCGACAAGGGTTGCGCGGCATTTGTTCAGGCGTAAAATTCAAGTCGAATCGCGTCCTCTCTTGTTGCGGTGGCGTTCGGCGCGCGGAATGTCCGTGAGCTTGGGTTACTAGGTCTGTTGTCATCGTGCTTGCACTACAACCGTCTTAGTGTAAAATCCTCGGCTCCGCCTCATTCCCAAAGCGGCGGTGAACGTATACCTTGCAGTCGGCGAGGGAGCGGCAAGCCAAAACCATCTTTGGTACAACCGGCTTCTCAAAGCAAAAGCAAGGTCCAACCTTCCACGCAGACTAATCTCATTATTGACATCATGACACGCCGGTCGGATGAGGAAAACACCAAGTGGGAGAATTTGCGAGAAAAATCTGGATGTCATGTTTCACCAAATTATCGAGATGCATTCGGTCCGTATAAATGAAAGCACAATTTGGACCTCACAGTGGAGGACTATGGATGAATACACTAACGAACAACATCTCATTTCTCAAAGAAGTTCAAGCCAATGGAGAAGCCATTGCGAGTCACTCTCCGGCAAATGGAGGGAGTCCAAGAAACCGATCAACCTCAATATCAATATGGTCAACATCATCACTCAGATACAGAAGATGTAGATTCTCTGATTTTGGATGACAATGCCTCCTTTCACAATGTGTTTGCCAAGGATACCATGCAAGGCAAAGCACAACCATCCGTGCAACACAAAACAAATCCCAAGCAATACCAACAGAATGAGACGAGGCCAGAAACTAAAGGACAAGAGCACAAATCTTATGCCTTACCTAGGCCAGCCATGCCTAAAATGGATTTCCCTGATTTTGAAGGTTCTGACCCAAAGGTCTGGCAAGATCTCACCATGGATTTCATAGAAGGTCTCCCCAAATCAGAGGGTTTCAGTGTCATCCTGGTCATTGTAGACAGATTGACAAAGTATGCCCACTTTCTAGCCCTCAAACACCCATACTGTACGGACTACTATAGCTCAAACATTCTTGGACAATATAGTTAAGCTCCATGGATTCCCCTTGTCCATCAAACCGATGAGATCCAATTTTTGTCAACAACTTTTGGAAACAACTATTCACCAAATACAAGATTCAACTCAACCTCGAGACGGCTTATCACCCTCAAAACAGACAATGGGCGGCCCGAGAGGGTCAACCAATGCCTTGAGATGTATCTCAGATGTGCGTTCATGACTCCCCATCAACATGGAAATCTTGGTTTGTCATTGGCGAGTTAGTTATGGTACAACACCTCACTTTGCACTCATCACTAGGGTGCACACTTTCAAAGCACTCTATGGTTATGATGCTAATCTGGGTGCCATACCAACTCTTATGTTTGACACCACTCCCGAGGTTGTTGAAGTCATTGTTAAACAGGAAGTTCCATCTTCACCCCTATGAAGAACATCTAGCCAAGGCTCAAAATAGGATGAAACAAAGCTGCAGATACTAAAAGAATGAGTTTTTTTTCACGGTGGGGATCAGTCCTGCTGAAACTACAGCCCTATACTCAATCATCTGTGGCCAACAGGCCCTTCCCAAAATTGGCTTACAAGTACTATGGCCCTTATACCATTCTTCAGCGTATTGGTCAAGTTGCCTACAAGCTACAACTGCCAGAGAACTCCCATATCCATCCAGTGTTTCACATCTCCCAGCTCAAGCCCTACACCCCGGATCACTCCCTGCTTATTTACACGACACCGGTGCTCACAGATCTAAAGCTAGCACAAACGGTTCCTCGGGCATTTCTGGGAGCGCCGCATGGTGAAGAAGGGCAATTTTGCATCCCCCTGTAAAGATTGGTGGGCGTGGCTACCAGCATCAACATCGACATGGGAAGACTACTACGTCGTCAAAGCTCGTTTTCCTGATGCTCCAGCTTGGGGACAAGCTGATTCTCGCGCCGGGGGAGGTGTCACACCCGCGTGAAGGCGCCAAGCTGTTCTATTTACGCATTGTTGCTTTTACGTTTTCATAGTAGAGTATGACCAGTTGGGTCCACTGGACAGAATTTGTAAGCAGCATAAGTGCCTGCATTACTCTGTATGAACACTCATTCAGACATTCAGTAATACACACGACGCCAAGGCAGGGGCTTGCCCGCCGGCGCCAGGGTTCCGTCAAATCCCGCTGTTCCGCTCACGTCGCCGGTGACCCGCCGCGGCCAGGGGTGTGACAAACTGGACCTAGAAAAGCGAGGCCCTCCGCTCCCTGTCGAGTTCCCGAGGCGCTACTCTACCAGGGTTCGGCATCCTTTGGTTCCCCACGTATGTGATCTTCGTGCTTTCCCTATTTTGTGCTTTGCTTAGGTTCTGGAGTGGTAGTGCTAATTGTTTGTTTGATGGGTTAATTAGATTCGGTTGCTGCTATTTTAAGCTGCTGCTGCCAATGTTTTTAATGGTCATCCTAATGATCCTTTTTTTTATTGATTTTTATCTCTAGGTTGCTCAATGTTAGGATAAGCAGGCTTTAGTAATTACACTGTCTCTTGCAATATCACTGCATTCAATTGGGGGCTTTAAGCCCTTAGCTGGCTGTGTAAGAATTCAACTGATTTTGTTGTATGTATATTGGAACAGATGGCCACTTCCACAACTCAGCATGTGCTTTCATCCATCAAATTGCTGCCCACAGGCTGCTTCCATCCTGATAAGAGAAATAGCTGTGTGCTTTCTGATTCAGTAGGGCGTCGCTGCCCCAGTGCCCGTAATTTGGGTTTAGTCCTTCAGTGATTGAGCCGGTTCAGCTACCGGGGAGCCCTAAAAGTGGCGTAACTCCAAAGAAATCAGGTACGTTCTTAAGTTCAGCTCCACTGAGCAGCGGTCACAAAATTGTTCTACGAAACACTGATTCATTGACATTATAAGATTGTTGCTCACGTGCTTGTAGGTGAAAGCGCACTCATTCTGATACGGCATGGAGAATCGTTGTGGAATGAGAAGAATCTGTTTACTGGATGTGTCGATGTTCCCCTGACCCCTAAGGGTGTTGACGAGGCAATTGAGGCAGGAAAAAGGATATGCAACATCCCAGTTGATGTAATATACACTTCGTCGCTGATTCGGGCTCAGATGACCGCTATGCTTGCCATGATGCAGCATCGTCGTAAGAAGGTTTTAAAATCTTTTCCTTTTATATTTCCAGTATTCATATTGAGTGTGTTCATGTTTGCAATTGATAAACTAAAGAGGTTATGGCATCTGCCACTGACCATTTTAGGTTCCAATCATTGTGCACAATGAGAGTGAACAAGCTCACAAGTGGAGTCAGATATACAGTGAAGAGACAAAGAAGCAGTCCACTCCTGTCATAACAGCTTGGCAATTGAATGAACGAATGTAGAGTTTCCTGCACTCTAGAATGATTATCTGGTGCATCGTGGTATTTCTTGTTGAACCTAACATGTAATTCTACCTGGCCATTTAAGGTATGGTGAGCTTCAAGGCCTTAACAAGCAAGAAACCGCTGATCGATTTGGTAAAGAGCAAGTTCATGAATGGCGTCGCAGTTATGATATTCTCCCCAAATGGAGAGAGCCTTGAGATGTGTGCAGAGAGAGCAGTTGCTTATTTCAAAGACCAAGTAAGGATATTATCAGACACTACTATTTCAGTTTACATGTTGCTTTGTATGCGTACAAAAGTCAGATGTTGCAAGCTTTGGTTTTGAAACTATGGTTGGCCTTCAATTATCTCTACCAACTAATTCTAAATCTGTTTCTGTCGATATTGCCTAATACAATATCAAACACTGACCTGCATTGCAATTCAGTATTTTTTTCCCCATGAACTTTGTAGTATAACCTTGGTACGTTTCTTGTCTCTACTCTCTTAGATTATACCTAAACTTGTGGCTGGAAAGCATGTAATGATTGCTGCCCATGGGAATTCACTTCGTTCGATTATAATGCATTTGGACAAGTTGACTTCTCAAGAGGTATTTTATGTTTGTTTTGTACTCCCTCCGTTCCAAATTATAAGACGTTTTGGCTTTTCTAGATACGTTGCATTTGCTATGCACATAGATATACACTATGTGTAGGTACATAGCAAAAGCAATGTATGTAGAAAAGCCAAAACGTCTTATAATTTGGAACGGATTAAGTACTTTAGTTACTTTTCACAATTGGTGTTCTTGTGTAGAGATTGTTGACAGGCCCTTCATTTCTCAGGTTATCAGCCTTGAGTTGTCTACTGGCATTCCTATGCTGTATATATTTAAGGAAGGGAAATTTATCAGGCGAGGAAGTCCCGCAGGACCTTCTGAAGCAGGTGTCTATGCTTATACCAAGGTAAGAATTTTCTCTGCTTCCTGGTTGGAATGAAACAACATTCTGATTTAATCTGTAATTTTCCAAACAAATTGACATATCTAGGAGCACCAGTTGCAGTTTTTGAGCTCTTACTATTTAAAGTTCAGACAACTGAATCTATTTGATTTTAATCGTAATTACAAAGCAATAGTATTTTTCTATTGTCTTATTGTGAATGGTTTGTGGTGCAAACTTTTTAAATGTCTTAAAAGTTTATATCTCCAGCTTAATTTTTTTTGGTGCAGAATTTGGCTCAGTACAGACAGAAGCTTGATGGCATGGTTCAGTAGTCATCTGTTAGGTAAAGATTTGTTATTTCGATGTATAGTAACCGATTTCTCCAAAGGGATACATTTGTAAAACTAATCATTTACTCTTGATGGTTTGTAGGCTTTTCGTTTGCTACTGGTTGCTACTCATCCGTCGAACATGCATTTGGTCCCAAAAGAAGGGGTCAAGCTCCGTACTAATGTTCATCATTTGGGATGACCTAGTACAAGTTTGTAGCGGCTCGTTTATCTCTTCGGAATCCTTCCAGCACGTGGTAGTAAAATGTAGAGGATAATTTAGCTGATGGGCTGTAGATACAGATGGGGATAAATTTTGATGGCAATTGTGTTATCTTCTCGCGTTCCTATTCACTTAGATTGAAATATTTGTTGCTAAAAAAAACTTAGATTGAAATATTTGTAATGGCGCAGCAATAAACACTTCTAGTGGAACGGCATGAAACGAGATGGTGTGATCGAATGCTTGATCCCCATTTCATCAATTCCTTTTTGCCCCAGTGTGTGATCGGAATGTTCTATCCTAGCTTGGCAGACATTCGATTCGGATCCTTTTGGCCTGGCCAGCGAGCATCCTGTTGAAGCTGCTCAGCGGCATTGTTCATCAGTTGTGCCGACAAGCACGGAAGATGCAGAATTCCAGATTCAGCCTCGCACAAATCCAGCGGCGCAAAAACTGACGCGCAGGTGGCATCTAGGCCGGCTGAAGTCGGTGGTATAAAATTTGTGGCTGCAGGTCAACCACCCACCGTGGTTACCGTCTACCATCCACCCTGCCAAATTGGATTCCTGCAGCTGGAGATCATAAGCCCGTTGGTTTGACTTGAAGTACAGTCATTTATCATTCATTCACTGCCAAAGTGCCAACTCACACTCACAGCAAGCATCTTCTTCCATCACTCCATGTAATTCATGGTAGAGCAAACACGCATCATGCTTATCACTCCTGACATTGCTGCTAATATCATTGAACCCAGCCAGACAGTGGCAGATCGAGCGAGAGTGACCCAGCATCGAAACACACCCAGTTTGCTAACAGCAGAAACAAGTGTTCTCGTAGACATGACAGCATCAAAGGGACGGGACGGGGACGGCTCCAGGACCAGGGGGAAGCAGCAGCAACAGCAAGCACAGCCTGAATTGGAGGCAAGCGAGCCCATTTCCATTTGAAGGCAACACAACACAATTCCCTCGCCGCCACCCGTTTTGACCCCCCCGCATTTACCCCACCACTCCTCGTTTCGCTCTGGCTTTGCCGGGGGAAAAGAAAACAACCGCCTCGCTCGCCCCCCGCCCCTACCCCCTACGACCACGACGGCCTCCGGATGAGGGTCGGTTCCTGCCGCGTCTTTTACCGTCAGCTGGATGTCAAATCACAACGCGCCCTGTGACATCCCCAAGCCGGCCTCCGTCGACGAGTTCCTCGTCAAGAATGGCAAGAAGAAGAAGGTACCCCCGTCCATCCATCCATGCATTCCGGCCATTTTCCCTCCCGGAGCCGGAGGCTAGCTGCCTGTGCGTGCGTGGCAATGTGGCTGATGAGGTTTGTTTGCTCTCGCAGTCCTTCATGTCGGGCCTCTTCCGCAAGAAAGGGAGGGGCGCGGACAAGAAGCTGCTCTCGCGGCGGGACATCGTCTTCGGTGAGTGCGTGCGTGCCGGCGGATGCTCGCGGCAGGCCGTCCCAGCGTTCTCCCGTCTGGCCGGCGGTTGGATTGCTGACGCGTGGTTTCACATTGTTTTCTGCAGATTTGGAGGGCAAAAGCGGCGACAGGATGGACCTCTTGGAGGCGTCCCCCGCTGTCCGCAAGAGCTTCTCAGGTAACGCCGGCCGCCAGCCGGATCATACGAGAGCATACTGATACAGTGACAATGCGCCACGTTGGCTGTGATCTGCTGCCGAGAATGTGCTGTGCCTGTGCACGCCTGATGTGATGACTCGCTGGGCTTTGTGTTTCAGATCGGCACTGCACGACCCGGATCGAAAACCTGACCCTGAGCTGCCTGGATTCTCCCAGGAGACCCAATGTCGACACCCGGGAGTACCGGTAACAGCAACTTCCCATTTGGACTGGAGTTTGACGCTAATTAATTTCTCCTGCTTCTGCAAACCTCAAGCTCATTGCTTGATAGCGCTAGTACAATGATGATCGGTCCCTTTTGTTTTACCTGATATATAAACTTGAAGCTGGACCATGTTTGACGATCTTGCAGGGTGTTTGTAGGCACATGGAATGTGGGAGGGAAGCCTCCTGACAGCAGCGTTAACCTCGAAGAATTTCTGCAGATTGAAGGATTGCCCGATATATACGTCTTGGGGTACAGATTTTCCCAATTTCGTTCGTTGCCAACTATTTTGTGCATCCTGCATCATCTATCTATAAAAGACTATAAATTTAAGGGGTGCTCCATCGCGATTACTGTTCATCCGGCGCGCCCCTGACCCAGATCACAGTACCGGACCCCACCTTCCCCCCGCCGTTCGCTGTTTTTTTTTCGTTCACTGTTTCCCGCGCGAAGCGCGGGGTTACCTGCTAGTTCTCATGTATATATAGACTCGGATCTTCGCACTCTAATGCATTTGGACGTTCGCAAAGGTTTCAGGAGATCGTGCCTTTGAATGCCGGCAACGTGCTTGTCGTGGAGGACAACGAGCCCGCGGCCAAGTGGATGGAGCTCATCTACCAGGCCCTGAACAGGCCGCCGGCCCAGGACGGGCAGTCCTCCGGCGACGAGCTCTCGCCGCCGGAGTCCACCTCCTCCCACTACCCCCAGCAGCCGTCCCAGGTCCGGCAAGGCATCCGCGACCCCAGCAACACCGCCATCCCCAAGTCCTCCAGCGGCGGCCAGCTCTTCGCGCAGAAGCCGCCGCCGCCGCTCAAGATGGTCAACAAAGGCTACCGAGTCGACAACGCGCTGGTCAAGACGTGCACCTGCATGTCCGACCCGTCCACCATGCAGCGCCGGGCGCGGGAGATGCGCGAGTTCCTCTACCGCGTCGAGGCCGCCGCCGCCTCGCCGGGCCGCAGCGCCGGCGCCGACGACGACGCGCTGGCCTCCATCGAAGGCGGCGACCAGAAGGGCGGCGGCATTAACTACTGCCTCATCGCGAGGAAGCAGATGGTCGGGATCTTCCTGTCGGTGTGGGTGCGGCGGGAGCTCGTGCAGTACGTCGGCCACCTCCGGGTCGACTGCGTCGGCCGGGGCATCATGGGCCGCCTCGGGAACAAGGTCTGCAAGCGCGCGCGCGCGTCTTGTCTCGTGCATGCCGAATCTTACGAACGAGGGAGCGTCTGATTCTGAATTTCTGAAATCACCAGGGATGCATCGCCATGAGCATGACGCTGCACCACACGAGCATCTGCTTCGTGTGCTGCCACCTGGCGTCCGGCGAGAAGGAGGGCGACGAGGTGCGGAGGAACTCCGACGTCGCCGAGATCCTCAAGAACGCCCAGTTCCCGCGCATCTGCAAGGTGCCCGGCCAGCGCGTTCCTGAGAAGATCATTGACCACGAGTAAGCAACCATCCACTGAAAATAAAAACATGGCAGGGCACATCATTCTTCTACACCTCTGGGCTCTGGCGCTTACTTACGCCTCTGAATCAATGCCCATCCAATGCAGTCGGATCATATGGCTTGGGGATTTGAATTACCGAGTCTCGTTAAGCTACGAGGAAACAAAGACGCTGCTGGAGGAGAATGAGTGGGACATCTTATTGGAGAAAGATCAGGTATCAACTACTCCGTATGAAACAGGATTTTTCAGAGATACGCTACAGTGTTACTACAGAGAAATGCAGTAAAAATACCGGAGGTTTCGCTCAGAAAACCTGATGCTGACAATATGGTATCTTAACAGCTCGCCATGGAAAGACAAGCCGGGAGAGTGTTCAAAGGATGGAAGGAGGGCAAGATCTACTTTGCCCCTACATACAAGTACAAGCAGAACTCCGACTCATATGTATGGGAGACCGCCAAATCGAAGAAGAAACGACGAACGCCGGCATGGTAACATAACAAGTACAGCATTGGTTTGAAGATTCAGACATGCCAAAGCTTTGAGGCTTCCTGAGGCAGACTGATATTTCTGAATGTTCTCATGTTGATGATGCAGGTGTGACCGGATACTGTGGCACGGCCAGGGCATCGAGCAGCTGCAGTACATCAGGGGCGAGTTCAGGCTCTCCGATCACAGGCCTGTCTGCAGCGTGTTCGTGGTCGAAGCCGATGTAGATAGTGGGAGCAAGATCAGAAAGGGCTACTCAACTCTGGACGCTAGGATCCACTGCGATTCCTCCGCGATACCCAAGAGACACAGCTTCTATGATGACTTCTAAAATTTTGACTTGTGATGATAGTTTTGTCTATAATATAGTAGCTTACAAAGATCAGAAACGTTTGTAGCGAAAAGGCTGAAGTTTTTCAAGCCTAACACTTGTCTTGTACTCCAAGTGGTATACTAACTGAAAGTCAATGGTGGTTACTGAACAGAATACAAGTGAACAATGGTATTTCACCCAACAGCTACTGTCTGCTGGTGAAAAGCGCTTGCGGTCTTGCTATTGAGTATAGAAAATGCCATCCAGATAGGCAGATACAACAGTGTTTTTCCTGTAAATACAAGGGCATAGCAGAAACTGAACACCGGATCGCATTCTGTCATGAAAATTGAAAAGTGAGGGTAACATTATGGTATTAGTTCTTTACCATATGGTAGATCTCATTCTGTCATGAAAAGGTTCCTCAAATAAGATCGTGAGGACAGAGAAATTGGTGCCTGACTACAAAACAAGTCAGGCATGACGATTTGCCATGTTAAAAGAGTTTCTCATCGCTTTTCGTGTTTATCTTTTAGTGAACTGTGGTAGAGATCCTATCAATTTTTAGCATTTTTGTTTCATGGTGATACTCAGAGATCAGATTAAACGCCACTTTTATCTGCTGGGGCATTAGCTTCTCCTGGCAAGCTTTTCTGCTCAACCGTGTTTGGTTCAGTCCGTGTTTGTTCCTCCTTTTCAGATTCGGTATCCGATTCTTCACTCTTTTCAGGAGCAGTCTCCATGTTTTCCCTCTTTCCAGATCCAGCATCTTCAGTCTTCGCACCTGAAATGCTTTCTAGGGCTTTTTGGCTGCTCATCTGATATGGCTCAGAAGCAAGAGCTGAATTCTCAGGGCTCCAAAATGATGGCATCTTCTTGTCATCTTCTCTCATCCTCACCGCATAATCATTTATATTGAAAGTTGCTGGGTTCTTGCCACCAAATGCACATTCTAACTCATCCATGTTGAAAAGTTCTTCCATGATCTTCATGGTGTCAGGTCTGTCCGAGTATACAAATTTGACCTTGTTTCTGGTCTTCTTCTCAAGAAGGGGGCTTGCCATCTACATTCAGATCTAGATTTTAGTTCTTGAAATGTATCATGAATTCATGATTAACTGAAAGTAACATCAGGTGTTTAATTTCCTTGATACATATGAAAGTGATACTTATGTACAGCAAAACTACAAGGCAACATCTCACTAGCTGCTGCTGTTCCGCTTCAGTTACTCTCTAGTGTTTCATTATGGCTGGCTGGTGCTCTGCAGCTGCAGCCTGCAGCGCTGCAGAGATGCAAGCGTGCTGTGAGCAACCCACAAAATTAAGCCTATATGCGGGTTCGTGGGCTATCCCGCTTGCATCCCTAGCTGCAGTAGCAAGCTCAGTTAAACACACGAATTAGTACATAAACAAATATGCTTTACTACAATATCAAGATGGAAATTCAAAAATGTTACATCAATCTTTTACTGGAGTCTATATCTAGGAAGGTGATGAAATTGGTCAGGACATGGTGTATTCATGGAACATGTCATCCTAAATATCTGATGAAATAAATAAGAAGCTCAAATATTTGTAAAGACATACCTTCCAGAAAGGCTCAAAAAACTTTGGAGCATTGTAAAGAATTGCCACACCCAATCTTTCAGGATAATGGCCTTGTAGGACATCTGCTGTCATCTTTGTCACCTGAATTGACAAGTTACCTAAGTTGAAACCAGCAAAATCAATGAGCCAAACCATCTGATCCTGACCATGTGGCAGATTTAGAATTGCATTCTCCATACAGTACACCAAGTACTTGACTTGCCCATTGGGATTCTTGGTATTCTGAAAAATAAAATAACAACTCAGAATGGTTGAATTAGACAGCATGTATTTATATGCATATAAAAATGTGCATTCAACAGTGAAAGTGGTAAAAACAAAAAGGTTTTATGGGGAACTCCCCACATTCACGTCTCAAAAAAGAAAAGATAGATGAAAAAAGGGAACATAAGAGCATTATCAAACCTGGCATCCAGGTCTCATGACAAGGATACTCCGCTCAATCTTGTCAAAGTAATCAATTCGGTAAATTTTCCCGGTCACCGCTTCATCCGATATGTCATCCTACATAAAGAAATGCAAAATAAGATTTTCTATCAGATAATAATTCATCAAACCAGATGCCATAATGCACCAAATGTTTCACAAAGCATGCTTAAAAGCTTCGCGCTGGGCTGCTGGCATAAGCAAAATCACACGTGTACCATTGTCACATACTTCAAAGCAATATGACTTGGAAAAAATCTCACCCAACGGATTTCATCTGGCTTATATTCGGAACGCCATTTTAAGGTCGTCTTCAGCATTCTAGTAGCCTTCTTTACGTCCCAGTTCCTTGCTATCAGGTACCTTGCAATTGAAGCATCAGAGCAATATAGAGCTGATTTTCCAGATAGCTGTCCTAGGTCAGTTCTAACTTTACCAATCTGACATGAAAGAAAAAGAAAAATAAGAATGCACACTGTATGAGTTCTATATAAGATAATGGTAACAATTGGCTATTTGGGTGCCTAACTGGAAAAGAAAAAGGAAAGGAGGCAAACAAGTTTAAGATGCATTTTATATCTAGAGCTCTTCCACTTAGTAGCAAACAAACAAAATATTGAATCCAGGTGACATGAAATCACCTTGGACAGCTGCTCCTCATACAATGCTGCTTCTTTCCCATGGCCATTGGTTGTACCACTCACTGAGCTCATAGTGCCCTTTCACTATTTCCTACAAGAATAAAATCAAAAGGCCTTGTAAGAACTTCAGTCTAAGTTACACAAAGGAGAATAACTATAGCTCCTGTGAGGGAGAAAAACAGCAGGACAGGCAAAGTAAAAACAGAATTGCAGCAGACATGCACAGCAAAAGTGCTGATGGTAAAATCATTCACAATTACGAATTGTACAATTATGCTAGGATTTGAACTCCATACTGAGTTCATTGAATCAAGCACAGTTAAGCAGATACAGAGTGTCTAGGCAGTAAAGATAACATATCATGTTCAGAAGCAAACTAAAAACCCTCATAAAGCCCATGCAGTATCAGAACATATTTATAGGTAAACTAAAGCAACTTCACAGAGCCCATGCTAGAGGTACTAGTTTTTGCATTGAACAGACAATGAAAAACTCATAGTTGACATGCTAAAAACGTGTGTATGAATAAACCTATACAGATAACGGAGAATTACCATGTTTGTTTGCATAAACGTACCTACTCCCATTTATAAAGACACATTCTGTGTATAAATAGACCAACTGAGAGCGCCTTTTCTGTCTTCTACATGCATACTAACACTGCAAGTAGTAGCACAATAAAGCACTACCAACAAACGGCAATCTTAATGGACAGGACAGGCAGGAATGAAACCATCATAATGCAGCAATATATGATATCAAGGGTATCGACCCCCCAGAGTCCCAACTTTGCATAACCCGCTAATGAAACTGACAACCAAGAAACAGCCAAACCGGTAAACAAAATTTCAGATAATCACATCAACAACCATGTCCCTCCCAATTTCATTCCAGTAAACGAGCAGAGCCCAGAATAGCAAAATCCCAGTTCAAGCACGGCACACCTCTGCGCCACCGCTAAGGTCAACGGGCGCTCTGCTGCCTGAACTAGGAAATCCAGCTACTCCACGAAATGGCAGTATGTCACCACAAGACGCAACTGATATTCTACTCCATCAGACACAGTGCAAGCTGCGAAACCCCTAGTCTGCGATTGCCTCCTCCAAGCTAACGACAACACGGAGCAAAACCTCCTCCGCATATCGCGTGTGATCGAGGGTTCCTTGCACAATCACCAAATCGCTAGGAACAACAAGAAGAAGAAGCTAGCAATCTTCCGTACAAAAAGGCGCTCGAAAAGTCTAATCCCCCTCAATAAGATAGAGCAGCATAGAGCAAGAGTTGAGGACGAGCTCCCGGCGCTCACCTCAGCGAGCCGCTCGAGCGGAGGAAGGCGGCGAGGGCGAGGCAGGATGCGCGAACGTGCCCGTCCCCCTCCTCCTCCTCCTCCCCTCTTCTTCCTCCTTGCTCGGGAACAAGCGAAGACGGTAGTTGCCTTTTTGTGTTGATTACTCGTGGTTTTTGTCCGCTTGATTGGATTTGGATGGTCAAGGGACTTTTGCCGGGTTCCGGGTGGCCGAAGCCGAATCAGCTCACGCACGTCCTTGTTCACAGCCACGCCTGCTGTTTCTATAACACGGGGCTGCTTCAACTTTGAAGTTCTGGATGAAAACAGCAGGCCGTAGCCTCAACTTTGTTAGCCGCAGCCTGCTAGTGGAGCTCCATCGACCATCGGCGCACCGCGGTTCCGCCCGCGGTCGGCGCACGCATGCCTGCCATTCCGGTCCGAATTTTTTTTATTTTTTAGCCTTTTTTTTAAAAAAAATCATAAATATACATCTAGAGATAAGATTTCAAAATCTAGACTCTTACCTCGGCATGGCGCCGAGGTCTTAGGCTCGACGCAGACGTGGCGGTGACTTGAGCAGACAGCTCGGCGTCATAGATCGACGCCGAGCTTGGCGCCGTAGATCCTGATGCCGTGCGCATTCTTTAAAAGCAGTCAAGAAAATAGAAAAGGACGTGAAGCTGTTTATATAGATTGATCTCATAAAAAACAAACATTCCATTATTTTAAACATTAGTTCTGGCTCTGTGCTGCTTCGGTTTAGCTAACAGGTGTTATGTTTCCATTCTGACAATAGGTTCTGTGAAGGACATAATTGTAGGCCTGCATTACAACCAAATCAAGGTAGCCGATATTCTTTGCTGGACAATGTTACACTTTTGTTCAACATTTCATCATGACCTCTTTTAATTTCAAACATTTGCCACTCTTCTTCCATAGGGTGATTAGGAAAAAGGATATTTGAACTTAGAAGATTTGGCTACATAACAAAGCGCACGACCTCCTACGTATTATTGCCGTTTCTGAAAACTAAAACAACGCTGCATACATAGTCTACAGGTACAAATTCCTCCCTTCTAAAATTGGTGCATTGTGTCTTTCTTTATTTCCGCATATTTTACTTTTTTTCAGCACTATCTGTTTTATTATTCTGCCTTTTTAGGTGATCATGCGGTTGCCACTATCTCATCTTTGGTTCACAAATTCAAGGTTTGAAAGCAACAGATCATTAACAAGAACGGCATTATTATTTGTAATCCATCATTATGCAAAGTTTGCAACTTTTGCGGTGTGCTTTGTCATAATCCTGTTGCCTTATGCTCTTCTGAATAATACTCATCTGTCTAGGCACAGTCTTGCTGTAGTTTTTTCCACACTGTCAATTCACTATTCGGCGTCTTCATTTGAAAAAATAAGTGAAACAAACACCATTTCCAAATTTGATTTGTTGTGAGAGAGAAAAATACTATTGAAAAAGAAAAAAAGGAAAGGCTCGGCTAGAAAGTTAAAATCCACGCCTGCTGGTGGCGTCGCTCGCACCAATTGGCGCCAAGCCGGGTCAAGATCTCTGGCGGGCTTGGGCACCTGCGTGCCTGCCAATCATAAATCACGTCTGCGTCGAGCAAGACCTCGCGCGCCAACAACAATGCCGAGAAGTGTAAGCTCGGAGGCGCCGAGAGGGTCAGGAGGAGATTTGTGAAAAAAGGCTAAAAATAAAAAAAATTCGGAGGGACCTGACGATTGTCGAAGACCATCAAGTCGGCCGGGTGAGGCAGGCATGCGTGGACCTAGGAGGGCCCAATGCACCAATATGATGATTTGGCGACGAGTGCGTTTCAGACGCATGATTTGGCATTCCACGTGTCATCGAGGAGGAGAAAGAAGAGAAGAAGGCTCTAGTGTAGTTAGCTAGATTAGGATTAGAAAGGTTGGGTCAGAGGCAACGGGGTTAAAAACACCACCTCTAGATAAATTTGAGATTTTTTACAATGGTTGGGAACCTCTACGTACTTTTTTTATTTTTTCTATTTTTAGATAACCAGGGTAACCACGTAACCGACCGACGCTCATCTGCTTGCTGATCATCCGAAGCTCGGCACCAAGATCTGAGGGTGTTTCCGGGCGAACCATGCTCCAGCGAAGTCCAGGCGTCAAGATCTCTGTCGTACGCCACGCGGCGCCACAGGCTGGCATGAACGTTCGCCGGCCGCCAGGACGAATCCGCATGTCGCGTCGCTCACCGCCGCGTCGCCTCTCGCGCCGCGCGAGCCGGCACTGCACGCTGCTCTGCGCACCGGCCGAGCTCAGAGAGCTTCCTTGGCGCCACGTCGCCAACGAATGTTGCCGCCTCCCTTGACTTGAGCAGTGGACATGCGCAAGCTGATGGTGAGCTGCGCGCAGGCCATGGAGTCGAGCCTCGCCGGCACGGGAGCCTGCTGACAGGCGCTCGAGCTAAGGGTCCAGATTTTAAAATCTTAACTCGATGAGCATATTTGTGAAAAAAATTCAAAAAAAAGGCTAAAAAATAAAAAAAAATTCGGATTGCCGGTCTGGGGACCTGACGATTGTCGAAGACCATCAAGTCGGCCGGCTTCACCAAGCACTAGGCCCATGCGTGGACCTAGGAGGGCCCAATGCACCAATACCTGGGCCTTTGGCCCCTCGCCTTTTCTAACCAAAAACATGATTTGGCGACGTTTAGTGCGTTTCAGACGCATGATTTGGCATTCCACGTGTCATCGTGTATACGAGTTTCAATTTTCTAACTTAATTTATGTTTTCACGTTTAGTGTTTGTATTTTATGGTTTACGCGCTTTTACCTCCCTACTAGTGTAGTTAGCTAGATTAGTTTATATGATTAGAACCTAAGATGTGAAACTCCTTTCGGGTCAGAGATAGCAACGCCGAGAAAAAAAACTTGCACATCTAGATAAATTTGAGATTTTTTACAATGGTTGGGAACCTCTACGTACTTTTATTTTTTCTATTTTTAGATAACTAATTGAGAAATAATATTTATTAAATATAATTTGTAATATTTAGGGTAGTTTCGTAACCGACCGACGCTCATCTGCTTGCTGATCATCCGAGCGACGCAGTACGGCAGCTTCGGGTTCACGCCGCACTCTGAGGGTGTTTCCGGCCGTCGAACCATGCTCCAGCGAAGTCCAGACAGTCCAGGAGGCTCTCCCTGGCCATGCCCTTCATGTCGTACGCCCGCACGCGGCGCCACAGGCTCCTGGCATGAACGTTCGCCGGCCGCCAGGACGAATCCGCATGTCGCGTCGCTCACCGCCGCGTCGGCCTCGCGCCGCGCGAGCCGGCACTGCTTTGCAGCTGCTGTGCAGCACCGGCCAGTGGCTCACTCCTGCTCAGAGGGGACAGCTTCGGTATAATGATCAATTGCCTTGTCCACGTCGCCATGCAAGAAGCTGTCGTTGCCTTGCCTCCTCTTGACTTGTTCTCCAGCAGCAGGTGGACATGCGCACGCTGATGGTGAGCTGCGCGCAGGCCATGGAGTCGAGCCTCGCCGGCACGGGAGCCTGCTGCACAGGTCGCTCGCGGCGGACAAGACCCTGCTCGGTCCTCGCGGGCCAACACGGCCGCGGCGGGCTCGCCCACGAACCCCTGCTCCTTGCTAAAATTACCATTTACCCATAACCGAAAAAAAACTAACCCACGTATTTTAGTACTGGTCCCACTTAATTTTGGTACCGTCCTCATCAGTGGCGGATTTTGGAGTGGCGGGGAGGCTCTGGCGGCCGGTCTCTTCTTCTCCTCTCTCCTCTCCATCCATCCTTTTTTTCTTTCCGACGACTTCCACCCACTCTCCTTCTCCCTCACCCTTCCTATATTTCCATTATATGTTTAAAATGTCCTGGAGGGGGATGCAGATAAGTTCCTCCCCCCACTGCCATGAGATCCACCCCTGGTCTTCACCTATTTAGTACCTTTAGATACTTTTACATAGGTACATCCTGTCTTTTTGCTTTTTGATGCGTTAATTTGTGGATAATCTCTAGTGCGATGAGTGCTCTTTGCGAATGGATGTCTTATGTTTTTTTCAACCGATTATAAAATTTCTCGATAAATTTACGTAGGTCTTATAACAGTTTTTTACCATAATTTTTAAGTGACCTAATTCTATCCCCTCTGAGTTATCGTGGTCGTTTCACTAAGAGTTCGTAACTTCTTATAAAACAGAATAGATTAAATGGATATTATTATTAATGCTATTAGTATATACTAAATTAATGGTTTAATGTTTCTGATTTAATAATTTATGTCAGTGAACTTTTTCTAATATACGCCTCATCAAGTTAATAATCAATATAATTCCTACTTGCCTTAGCTTGTTCGAAAAGAACAGAAGGGGAGGGGAGACTTTTATCAATGAACCTCTGGCATCAATAATGCCGTAATCTTGCTCAAATTACCCTTTTCTCGTTTGAATAAGTTAAGAGAGCATCGGAATTATGAGGAAACGCTCAAGACTTCCATCACAATTCACAACCGGGATCATGCCATGAAGCTCATCTCAAACTCATCCTCGCTGACCATCACGAAGTGCGAGCCCTGATCGATCACCTTCCTGCCGTCCTCCGTCGCCCGGCTGAAGTGCTTGCAGGGGCTCACCTCGAACTCCACGTGCGCCGTCTGCATCGCCCTCAGGTGCAGGCTCTGGAACCCGATCAGTTGTCTGGCCGGCCGGCCGCTGCCGTCCGTCGCGTTGGGCCAGCGCAGGAACACCAGCACCGGGTGCTTCCCGTCCATGGGCCCGTGGTTCTGCACCCGCACCACCGCCGGGAACTTGAGCCGGTCGCACGTCTCCGACCCCATGGCCTCCACGTCGTAGCTCGCCATGCCGCCCGCCGTCGTCTCCAGCGCCTTCAGGCCGGCGATGTTGCTCATGAGAGGCGGCTTCGTGACGAAGCGGTGGGAGTACTTGGAGTAGCTGAGGCCGTAGCCGAAGTTGAACACGGTCGGGCCGCGGTAGAACCGGTACGTCCGGCCGGGGTAGCCCGTGGGTGGGTCGGCGCGCATCCTCATGTCCGTCATGGGCACTCTCGTGAAGTCTTGGGGATACCACGTCACGGGCAGCCTTCCACCTGCCGAAGAAGAAATTAAGATGATTTCTTTGTGTTTTTGGAGCTGGTGGTTTGCCATGCCAGAGTTTTGTTCGTTCAGAGGAAACAGGAAATGGACGAAACCTCACCGGGGTTGTGCTCTCCGAAGAGGACCTGTGCGATGGCAATGCCGCCGGCCTCGCCGGGGTAGCCAGCCCACAGGATGGCCCCGATCTTGGGGTTCGTCTTGGCGAAGCTCACATCCACGGGCCCGCCGCAGAGCAGCACGAGGACCACCGGCTTCTTCGCGGCGTTCGCGACGCTCTCGATGAGGGTCTGCTGCTGTCCCGGTAGCGTCAGGTCCAGCCGGTCAACCTCCTCCCTCTCCTGATCCTGATCCAGCCCCATGAACAAGACAACGTAGTCCGCCGAGCTCGCCGCCTGGACTGCCTCGGGGATCGTCGTGACGTTGCAGGCGGCCGAGTTGCAGCCGGCGACGAAGCTCGTGTCCTTCACGTAGCCCTGCAGCACCTGGAGCGGCGTCAGCGTCACGCACGGCGGGCCGAAGTAGTTGCCGAGAAGCCTGGTGGCGTCGTTCGCGTTGAACCCGATCACGGCGAGGGACGCGACACTGGACTTGGACAGTGGAAGGGCGCCGCCGTCGTTCTTGAGCAAGACGATGCCGTCCTGCGCAGCCTCCAGGGCGAGGTCCTGGTGCTCCTGCGTGCACACCTGGTCGGGCCCGATGTTGCCGTACCGGTTCCGCCTGGGGTCGCCGTTGAAGAGCCCCAGCCTCATCCTGACGGCGAACAGGTTGTGCAGGGCTCTGTCGATGTCCTGCTCCGTGATCTTCCCTTGCTGGAGTGCAGACGCGCCGTGCTCCTGCACGTAGCCGCCGCAGTTCACGTCCATTCCTGAAAGTTTTGCGATCGGAATACGAAAAAGGGTCAGAAACGTATTTCTGAGTATCTTGGGGGGGCATTGCGTTTATCGTTTCAATTTTTTCACCAACTCTTCTGAATTTGGTTGAGAGAAGTTCATACTGCTGCATTTTTTGAATGAAAGTTCATACTGCTGCATTATTGGTTATTGTTGATGTGGACCTCGTTTTCACTGTCATTGTTGACTTGAGCCGTTTAGGCTTTGGTCGTTTTAGACTAAGACTAGATAGAAGAACAGTTACTGTACATGCTTATCTAGTCCTTTTCCGGTGACACCTGGAATCATGATATCACGATGTTCGTCATGATAGCAATTATTTGTAGCGGATTGGGTTGCTCAGATGATCAGATCAACAAGACAGGATGAAAGGTATATATGAGCATGCAGGAGCAGTTAGTTGGAGCCAAAATGCCAAATCAACTTTTAGTTAAAGTTCAGTCACCTATCGTAACAGACTGTCCAAATAGCCCCAGGAGTATTTCAAAAAGAAAATATTCAGATAGTATGATCACGGATTAATCCATCCTAATGCTAGGATGTGTTTGTGTTGTTAATAACTAGAGCAGTGAACTCGTACCAGCTTTGAGCACATCTGCAACTGCATCTTCTGCCGTCTTGGCATACCCTTGCGCATCATGGATAATGGCCACCGCGTCGCAGTCTGAGGTGATATACCTGATCAAGACATGTAAAAACGTGCAAGTATCAGCAACGCTTCCGATCAAAGCCATCTAGGCCAACGAAAATAGCAACTTCAGCTAAGTTTATCAGCAGCCAGCTCCATCATATGATGATAAGGGAGGCTCTGAAAACTGCCGTGCCGGAGGTGGATATGTGTCACTGTCACGGGCCCTTTTCTCAGCAAATCTTGCAGCAGCAGACTCACCCGTAAAACCCCCAGTTCTGCCTCGCCGTCTTGGAGAGAAGGTTGTAGTCAGCGCACGTCGGCACGCCATTGACGCGGTTGTAGGAGCACATGATGCCGCTGGCGTGGCCGTCCTCCACGCAGCTCTTGAACGGAGGGTTGTACGTGTCCTCCAGATCCTGTGCCGTCACCTGAAGAAAGAGATCGAGAAAGGTTTTGCATTTCGTTTCAGTGTCCCAGAACCGCCTGGACAGACAGACAGACCGACCTGCCAGCCAAGGCACTCGAATCATCGCCAGTTGTTGGCACTTCACCTTGGCGTCGTAGACGTATCGTGTGATGCCGTGCCAGTTCTCGAGGTCGTAGGCGGTGAAGTGCTTGCAGCAGGCGGAGGCCTCGAGGTTCCTGGAGTTGACGGCGCCGGCGAGGCCGTAGCCCTGCACGCCGCGGACGAAGACGGCGGCGTACTTGCCGGTCATCGTTGGGTCCTCGCCGGGGGTCTCCTGCCCGCGGCCCCACCGCGGGTCCCGGAACACGTTGATGTTGGGCGCCCAGAAGGTGAGCCCCTCCGCCTGCCCGTTGTTGTACACCGCCCTCGCCTCAACGCCGATCACCTGCCCGTCAACGTCGCATCAGTCAGTGTAACATCACTCTCTGCTCTCAAGATTTGCTCGACAACAGTCAAAAAGAAAAATCAGCTATGACGGCGTTTAAATTCAGGGCTAAAATTTATGGATGTTTCATAAAAGTGTTCGGATAGTAATAATAAAATAAATTATATAAGTCCTTAGTAATCCGCTTGACAAATTTATTAAGCCTAAATAATTCGTCATTAGCACATGTTTACTGTAGCACCACGTTATCAAATCATGGACTAATTAGGCTTAAAAAATTCATCTTGCAAAGTAGTCGTAATATATGCAATTAGTTATTTTTTTAGTCTATATTTAATACTTTATACATGTGTTCAACACATATGATGTGATAGGACTAAATTTTGAAAGGATCTAAACAAACCTTTGTTTAGTGTGGATTTGGTTGGTTTCTGCCTTTGTTACAGTCTTGATCTTCGGTACAGTTGAGACACTACATTCCGTTCAGAAAACTACATTTCATTCTTTCAACACAAAAGGACAACACGACTGGTAGATACAACGTTTGTTGTGAATTTCTCAGTCTGCTCAAGAGTCAAGGCCGAACTGAACGGCCCGAATCGCCTCCATGAATTTTGACCGAAAGGATGCATGCACCTACCATTACGGTACGTATATGCGTTCAAAAGTTGTTACACCCGGTTGGTGAAATTAGGTGAAAGAACACGCGGCATTTCTTTGGAGTTTGTTGCAGAAAATGCCCTGCTGTAGTGCCCTTGCTCATCATTTCTCACGCTCTACAAGCTGGAGCACCTTACATTTTTTATTTATTTTCGCAGCAATTTAAGAGATGGCCCCCTCTCTAGCGGGGAAGTGATAATTAGCACTAATCATCACGCGTACTACTACCAGTAGGGCAGTAGTTAGTCGTGGAACAGCCAGGTTCTCCTGTTGTCGTCGCACAGCAACACAAAGGACACGTGAAAACGATGGGCAGGTCGTGCATGCCCCGCGCGTTTACCAGTTACCACGGAGAGAGAGAGAGAGAGCCCAGAGGCGGTGTACGCAGTACGTACCTGGCCGATGCGGTACCAGAGGTGCGGGTTGAAGGACGCGGCGGTGAGGATGACCTGCGGGAAGCTGGTGGCGGCGCGGAGCGGGCCGTCGAGGTGGATGCCGCGGCCCGCGTTAGAGACCCCGTGCAGCGCCTCGGACCACCACTTGTACGCCGGCACGCCGAGCCGCGGGATGGCCGGGGACTGGTCCCCGAGCTGCGAGATCTTCTCCGCCACCGTCATGCGCGAGACGAGGTCGTCCACGCGCCGGTCGATGGGCAGCCTGGCGTCGCAGAACGGGATGTTGGGCGGCGCGCCGGCGCCGCAGGTGTAGGGCGGCTCGGACGCCACGCCGCCACGCAGCTGCAGCAGGACCACCACCAGCGCGGCGGCGGTGGCGGTGGCGTGGAGGGAGAAGAGCGCGCGGCCTCCTTCCATGGCTGTATGGGTGTGCGCGTGTGTCATGGCGCCAAGTGAGGAGAGCTTGCTCTGCAACGGCAGGCGTATATATATCGACGCGACGCGATGCGCGGGGACTGTGTTGTCTACAGTCTACTGACAGTGCAGGTCACTGTCCGTGTGTGTTGACAGTTTTGCCCAGTTCCCTGCCATCAGTGTACTAACTGGGAGTTTGCGCAGTACCCGTCACATTGAATCTTGCGGCACATGTATGGAGTACTAAATGTAGACGAAAAAAAAAACTAATTGCACAGTTGGATGAGAAATCGCGAGACAAAACTTTTGAATATAATTAGTCCATAATTAGACACTAATTATCAAATACAAACGAAATGCTACAGTGACCCAAAATCCAAAAAATTTTGGATCTAAACGGGGCCTTATTGGCGAGCAGTTCTTTTCGCGATTAATGAATATATATACTAGCACCAGGTGAAAATCTAAATGGATTATCTGAAATATCAGTGCCGATGGCTTTTAATTAGTGCGATGCAGAGCAAATGCAGACATACTAGTACGTCAGAGTCCCAACGTTATCGTGCAGTGCAGAGTAACACGTTAATTATCTCCAGGTAACTAGGGCCTTATTTAGATCACCTCCAATTTTTAAGTTTTTTCACTTTCTCTCCATCACATCAATTTTTAGACGTATGTATGGAGCATTAAATGTAGATAAAAAAAATAACTAATTGCACATTTTGGTTGTAAATCACGAGACGAATCTTTTGAGTCTAGTTAGTCCATGATCGGACAAAGTTTGTCAAATACAAACGAAACGTGTTACAGTGTCCAGATTGTAAAAATTTGCAATCTAAACAAGGGGTAGAGCTAATTTTTTCTTCTTCAGTACAGTAGATCAGTAGATGCTGCGTTACGATATCTCGAAGAGAAACTCGTGGGGTAATTCTGAGGTCCAAGGCAATCGAAACCACCGGCAGAAAGAATGCGCACGCATGCATGATGGAATAATCAATCTTCCTTACACGACAAGCAGCTGAATCCAGTCATCATTTTCCGAAAGCGAAGCAACTTGGGCGGACAAGCGAGCCATGCGAACAACTATCCTACGGAGGGAGAACTGCATGCGCGATTCAGATTCGCGAAAAAGCTTCGCTCCTCCTCCATGCGCGGCGCGTCGTCGACTCGTGGCAGCCACCACTAGCACTAGCTAGCAGTAGTGGCAGGAGTGCGGTAGCTCGCATCGCAGTGGGGTGAATGTTTGCAGAACATGGCTGCCAATCGATGTGTGCATTGGAGGGCAAAAAGGACAATCGCCTGCTTGTCTGGCTTGACGAAGGCGGTAAGAAGCGCCATGGGCAATCGCGTAATTTCACCGACCCCCGGTCGGGGGACTACAGCTCGCCGTATGCGTGCCTAGCTGTCTTCCGCACGCCCGGGTGGGTTTGGCCGGCTAGCGCCCGTGACAAGCTAAGCTAGCCTTGGAGACCCGGCGGCGACGCGTGGTGCCGCTCGCCGTGGCGTCGCCGCGGTGCCGGTGGTGCGTGGCGGCGACCGCATCCAAACTTCCAAGTGCTTGGACCGCGACTGCACCAGGCGTAACGCAACAGATCCACCACCGTACTACTCCAGTTTCAAATGCAGCATATCTACGTACGCACCGCGACAGAATTTCGCCATTGACGTCGCCATCGCGAGGACCGAGGACCGGACGAAGCAGTTAGCAGTACTAGTGCCGTCCGCTGGCCGGTCAAATGCAGTCGGCTGTACAAGACGAGAAGTATAGCCAGATGCCCAGATCGATCCCGATGCAGTAGTAATAGTTTCGCATGGGGTTTCATCTTCTCGTGAATGGCTCTACCCATGGCGCCAGAACTCAGCTGCAGACAAGTCTTGTCAACCGATGTCGCGTGTAGTACAGGACCTGTAGAGAGTAGGGGGACCGATCGCGCAGGCATGGCCACATGAGTCCACCAGTTCAGGGCAACAATTGTCAGATAGCGACAGTGCTTGACGCGACGTGCTCAGTGAGCTTCCTGCCGCAGTGGAGCATGCACTTGCTCTCTTGCTCGGATCACGGAGTCATCTCCGCTTCGATCACGAAAGATGTGGATCAAGATTGCACCGGCAAACAGGAAGCTGCTGCAGCAGCGTCAGGCTGCCATGTTTGTTCAAAACTGACGGAGAGGAGATGGAGACGTGACAATGGGAGCATGCGCCAGCAGGAGGTGTCACTGTTGGAACGTAGCGAAAGATGGAAAGTGTTCCTCTGGCCTGGGAAAATGGCAGGCTCGCATTGTGGACACTGTCAATCGCGTGTTCAGAAGATCAGAGCTTCGACTTGAAAACAAACGTGTTTTACCGAAGGCGGTCGAGACTAGCAAGATCGATCTTCAGCAGCGACACGGCACGCAGAAATTGAAGGCGACCGATGGACGCGAGCTCTGAAAAACCTTGCAAGTGGAGTAGCGCTAGTAGGCAAAGGTCAAGGCACATAGTTGAGCATGATGTCTGCACTCCTGCTGCTGATTTCGCTGCAGATGTTCAGGGTTCAGTTCTGAGCTCTCCTTTGTGTGCCGCGATTTTCTTTTACAATAAAAAAGTATGGTAGCTTAGGCAGTTCTGATCCCAATATCGCAGTACAGTTCTGTATGGACGACCTTAAAAAAAACAGTTATGATTTGTGGCCAGGCGACGAAGTGGACAGAACAGCATGTTGAGTGTCGGCGAGGCGAGGAGACAAAAAAAAAAGGAGCTCAGGCCACAAGGGGGACGCAGAACTTTCCGTGCCATTACTGATCTGCTTGCCGCTGAATAGAGTAATCAACGAGCGAGGCAGGCTAAGTGGTGGAGTTAGGTGCTGGTTACTGGTTAGGTCCGGACTGACGACTGTCGATTTGGGGGCAAAACCACAAACACAATTTTTCAGGTCAAACGAACGCATGCGTCTTCTGATGGCCAAAAGCCAAAAATTTTCGGAACTAAACACGCGCTAAGTGGTGGAGTTAGGTGCTGGTTACTGGTTAGGTCCGGACTGACGACTGTCGATTTGGGGGCAAAACCACAAACACCTTCAGGTCCACTGCATGCGCCGCAGCGCCGGGCTAATTTGACGCCACGATTGGTAGCTCCTAGTAGGCTAGTACTACCTATAAGGCACGTCAAAATTCACCGTTGACAGTCCCAAGTTCAACGGACCATCTGAATCCTCAGCAAGTTCTTCGTAACGTTCTTGGTAACCTGTTCTGAAACACGAGGAACAACTTTTTTCACTGTACATGGATCCTTACAAAAACACTTTGGCGAGATGACAGGTAAAAGGGCACTCTACGCTTGTCTGGTCCATCGTCCGCTAGCGATGCAGATGCAGTGCGGTCGGTCCGTAGATCGGGCGATCGCCGATCGGGCATTTCTTCTGCTCGCATGCATCTGTTTGGATGGCGCCGCGCCGGTTATTCGTGGATCTAGAAACTGTGCGTCCACAGCGCACTCCAAGAATGAGGACAGCGTTCCAACTAGCAGCGGCACATGCTAATCATATACGACGCCGGGAAAACCACCGGGGTCCTCCAGCTAGCCAGAGCCACCAGCAGCAGCAGCAGCAGGCCGATCGCAATGCACGGCTGCACCTGCACGCGTGTGTTACGGCCGCACGATCATATACGACGCCGGGAAAACCACCGGGATCCTTCCAGCTAAGCTGCCAGCAGGCCGATCGCCATGCACGCACGCGCACTCGACGCCGGCCGGCCGATCCGTTCGCCCATGATTGCTGGCGCTGTCCTCGTCGTGCATATCGTTTTCGGCTGTCCATGATTTTTATAACGCAAAGTGGCATTAAGGGCCTATTCAGCTGGTATTAAAGCTGGCTGAGCCAGCTGAAGCTGTTTTATTGATAAGCCGGCTGATAAATTCAAGCGAACAGGCTAAGTTGTTGCCGCTTTTGTGGTGGAGTGTCGAGCTCGACATGTCTGCAGCCGTGCCTCCCGTCTAGCTTCGTAGGAACTGCGATCGTTTTTCGTCTCAACACAGTAACTTTAGTGAGACCTGTGTGGACTGTGGACTGACCAGTACTCCTAGAAGGCTGCATCAATCAGCTAGCAGTCAGCTGATTTGCAGAGTTCGTGTACTGATGATTGGCAGGGAAGGTAACCGAAATGGAGCAAAAGGAGATGACAAGTTTAAGCAAAAGGAGAGTACTGAATTACTGAAAGGTACTCCGTATGTAGTAGTGCCTTGAATTCAGGTTTGAGTTGGCAATAGAATATGCGGATCGGATGTATTCGTGGCCCGGGCCGCGGGGTCAAAAGGTTTGGTGAGGATGTTGGGGGCAGTGTCCCCAAACCAATTCCACGAAAAGCAATCGCGCACACATGCATGATGTAGGCCGGGTCTCTTAAACTAGTTTTCGTGCCATTCTTTCTTCCGATGCTCTCTCAACATGATGCTCGCGGGGGAAAAAAAAGGCAGATCTCTCCTACCACTTTTACTACGCACTATCTCCAAAAGAACATGGTGTTGCCCTAATGCCCTGGCAAACGACACTCTTGCTTCTGGACGTGCATTATGCCAAGATCATCATCGAGACTTGAGAGGTATAGTGACATATATAGTGTGCACAGCGTGGACACACAGGACTCAGTGACACCTTCTGGGATTCAGCTTCACTGATATGGAGTGAAGTGTGTATTAGTAGTGGGCAGTCGGCGTGTTGGGCAAGAGATTTGCTAATTCGGTTGCTAATTCTGTTGCTGGGGCCATCCTTGGGATGGATATAACTTGGCACGAACGCCACCAAGGACCACTAGCTGACGACGTCGTGTACTGGCGTGTAGGATTGGCATGGCCTAATTCAATGCAAGGTGTCAATGCGCCACATCGCAAAAGGAAGGAAGAAGGATATGCTCCATTGCGTCTGTCGGGACGTTTTGGACAATTCTGTCTGGCTGATGGTTTTTTTTGTCAGATAAGCCGGCTGAAAGCTGATTTGTTGTGAAAAAAAACATTGTTCCATGACTGAT